GATATTTAGTACTCGGGAAGGATACGGCCATAATACTAATCGCCGAAGACAATCAAATCACTTTACAAGACAATAAAACATATCATTACCAGCCTCTACTTGTTTTCCGTCTTTAAGTTGAAGAGCAACGTTCTGAGGTAGCATTTGACCTAACAACATTTCGGTTTTCTTTTTTTCTATTTCTAAAGCTCTTGAAGTTTTCTTTAGCTCTGCAGTTGTTTCATCTAATTTATTTCTAAAAAAAAATAATATTGATCTCAAAAAAGCATGAAATGTTAGATAAAATGCAATTATATTTCAAAACGCTTTGTTTCCAGACATAAAAGAAAAAATATAAAAATGACACAATGTAGTAATGAAATTACATCTCGTTCTCTGCATGAAACATGCCTACAATCAATAGTGTGATTATCTTACATGCAACCCTTAATCTACAAACCGTGTCCGTTATAGAGCTATTTGGTTCGCAGAATGATAACCTTTCGAAGTGATGAGGTGAGGAGAGCTGTTGGGGTAGGGCTGGAGAGGGGGCAGGGTATGAGACACTGTAATATGTTTGTAATCGGTAAATGAATAGAGTAAAGGTATGAAGCGATTGATTCCAATTTATTGAATCTAGTCGGGAATTTGAATGTTAGCCATACGCAGAAAGACATATTGGATCAGCGAAGAGATTTTGAAAGAGTAATCAATCTTTTGAACAAGATTAATAATATGATACGCCAATATCGCGATACGTGTCAATTATTATTTTTTTCAGTTATAATTGTATTTGTAATTAATTTAATAATAAATATCACTATAGAAAGATAAATACCACGTCCTATTGAAAATGTCAAAGCATAAACTCGATCCGCTCCATTCGGCATTTCTAGTAACTTTCATGGCGCAAGCGGAACTTCCACGGAAAACCACTCAGAAAATTCATCACCATCTTATTCCCATCGTCATACGGTTCAGGGGTTAGGAATTAGGTTTAGGATCGTATCCAACCGTATTTGCACGAACCGGAGTTTCAATCCTCACGAAACATATAACAGAGCACGCGACTGTTAAATTTCATGACTTTATCCGAGTTTTCGAGACTTTGACATCGAATCAACAGTGGCGTTTCTAGGAAACATTAGATGAGGGGGCCGAGTAGGAGCCACAAGGGGTACACTCTTTCACTATGTAAAATGATAAAAAAGAATTGGAAGTGGAAACGCCACTACGAACCAACATGCTTATACTTAGCGAGAATTAGCCATGGATGATGAACCGATGAAAGCAGACAGCGCCACGCATTGTTGTGTAAACCGATTTAATTATAAACCAGATTATCATGACTGTGTTGCAGATTATAGAAGTCAGCTGGTAGATAAAAATAAAATTGGACCAAATCCTGCTGTACACTTATCAAATAATTATCTCCGACCAAGCTGTGATAATCGAGATTGCAATGAACTTATTTCATAACAATAATCTAGCTGTTAATTGGGTCAGTATTTGTGAGGATTTGGATAACATAATTTTTTATTAACTTACGCAAAGTCTATCTCGGCTTTTCTCTGTTCATATAACAGAATTAATTCCCGTGTGACGTCATACAGTGGTATATCAGATATGAATACGTTCATATCAACTAAATCATTCAAACTAGTAATCCGTAAAGAACCCATAAATACCATATGTTCTGTTTCCTTTAACCAGATCATTTGACCTGAAAAATAGAAGCCTTACTTGAAGCCATTATGTCATCGAATTAGCTGTACTTTAAGCGATATATTCCATTAGTGTGATTTCGATACAAATACAAGGCTAGAAAACATTCGCGAACACCCTTCACATCTGAGAAAGTTTGACTCTGTGGGTCTTGTAGTCGTCTATTTTGGTTTGGTTCTATCCACAGACCAAGCGAATATTTAGAACTTAATCTATTGAATTCAAGGGCAATAACTAGCAATGAACTGTTGACCATCTTGGAAATTGTCGGAAATTTCTCTTCAATTAGCCAAATAATAATATATGGATTTTGTATGAAAAAAATCGATGATTTAGAGGACTGCATTACTTGATCAATGACAATAAATCAGTTAACGAAAAATCTTCAATTTCAAACTTATCCGAAATCTCTTCAAGCTTGAACTACGGAAGTTTAAAGGACTGTATCACTTTAAAGTCTAGTTTTCTCAGAGATTTCCTTCTCACGCGATTTTTAACTTTCTGTCAAATTGGAAAAGAAGATTGATCGATTTTAAGGTTTCCTTTCTATTCTGTTTTTAAAAAATTTCTTCGAAATATCACACCATTTCATAGGCATTGACCAGTAGCTAACATGACCTTTTTTATGGTTTTCTGATATTTCTTCAATTATTCTTATTATTACATTTTGCCGAAAGGTGGGCGTGACGTAGAAGTCCTTGTTTTATGAAATTGATTTGGTAGCAACTCAATATATCGCGATACGACAAGCCACGATACGCGTATCGTATCGTAACGTCTTGTATCGATACTTGACGATAACTTTTATTAGATAAATAAGTGGGGATTTTTATAAGTTGTCATACAGAATCCGTGTCTAAATATGGACTATGAATTGTGATTCGATTATTAGACTGTCGATATTCGCTTGTAAAAGTGATTCTGATTGGCGGGAGAATTTCCTTAGATTACAATGGAGAGAAAGATATTAACGAAACGAAATTTGGATTAGATAGAGTGTATACATACCTTTCAACGTAACCTCTTTATCTCTCATTATTCTGTTCCAATCGTTTTCTTTTCGAACTGATATAAAGAACACAGAGTTGATAAATTTACGAATATTGTCTATGGTAAGAGTTGTTTTCGGATGGACGGCTTGAAAAACTTCGGACACACTCACGGGAGGGTTTCTGAACAAGGGCGATAACTTCTGAATTTGATAACCACTCTGTTTGATAATCATTCGTTTGTCGAAGATAAAATGATATGGAAACATTGTACAGAATTGTTGAGTTGAGAGCTGAAAAGGCGCCGGTGAAGTCATTTTCATCGGGCACATGTCAAATATTGTTGTATTGGATGTTTCAGAAGTCGTTGATGCATTTTCATCAGCACAAAGTCGATCATCTGCGCCATTTTCACTTTTAAACAATTTAACCTGAAATATCGATAAAGATCATGACAAAGTAATATAATGTGACAGTAATCAGGAAATATATAAGTGTTGCTATGAAATGACATGTAACCAAAGAAAGAACAAAAATATTTAAAACAAAGAATTTGCAACTGGACCATACGGTAGCTCGTTTAGGAAATATTTAAAAAAATAAAAATTTATCAATCATACTTGTAAGTGTTATATGAATTAGATCTATCATTCTGTTGTTTTTGAATCATGATTTAAGTTCTTTTATTCTTTCTGTTTAAAAGAATAAAATAATATCTTAAAATATCAAACTAGTCCTTTATGAGCTACCGTATGACCATAATCATTTGAACCAAAAAACAAATCAAAAGAAAAACAAATTCATGTGGCAATCATTTCTAAAGTAAATTTTATTATGGATTAAGAACCATGAAATAGACTCCTAATGAACCATTACCATTCTTTGGTGTGGTATCCTGAAGCGAATGATCAATAACAGACAAAGCCATGTACTGCTTCATTTCTTCATTTGTAATTTAACTGAGTTCAAACAATTTCGTTGTATTTAAAATGTCCACGTGAACAAACACTTTGATGTCTTTCATTAGATCGCGGGTATATTTCATTAGGCTGCGGGCACACGAACGGTCTTGGTCCATGTGCACTAGTCTTCTTAAGAGTTTCACCGACCGGATGCGGGAACACGAGGAGACAAAAAATCTCGTTTTTACGTGCGGATCATGCAATTGAAAGGAAAATAATCTGATTGGATTGTTACGTTCTGTCTTGCAGACAATAGAACAATCGGCGACAAATCTCAAACTAGTCAAACAAATTATGTCGGCAACATGATATGCTTGTCGTGGATTAGCGGGAACACATTATGATTTGCGTCGGTGACAAAAATCGGCGACAAAGACTGTTCGTGTGCCCACACCCAAAGACAGTTGTGTGTATAATTCCACGTGAATCACATTTTTGCGATCCACGTTGCTTAGGTACAATTTATGTAAATGGCATTCGTGTGAATGTCGTCAATGAGAATAATTCTGCGTTAATGATGTACGTCTAAAATGAACAACGTTCATTCATGTCTCAGGAAACGTTGTGTTTAGAATTAACACCATCTGAAAACCTTTTCAAAATCTAAAACCAAAAGATAGGGCTTCAATTCAATGTTTGTGCTTTAAGGCAAGGACGAACTCGAGTAAGCCTTTTTCATATGAATGACTTTGTGTGATTGTGGTTACAGCGAATCATTTCCACTTAAAAGATTCACGTTAATGACATCAATAGAGTTAAGTTCATATCATACATACCTTAAACGTTACATGTGTTTGAATTTTACCAGCTATGTTTTCTGATGTGTTATCTTGGACTGTTATCTCAACCCTTTGTTTAAATATATCTCTTCCAACAGCGCGGATCAGACCTTAAAAATAGTCAGAAAAACATTAGATGCAAGTATTCTCTATTGAAAAGGTTAAGCACTCTCCAAAGCATTCTGTAACCAACTGATTTGGCTACAAGATGCAAAATAACTGTATGCAGATTTGAATTTGGACATCATAAAAAACAATGCCCTTTAAATCACTCGATGAAACATTGTGATTTGTGAGACAATTGTCTTTGTAGATAATGGTTTCCACCTTCACTGACCATCGCTAGAAAGACCGCTGCGATGGCTTCGCTACTGGTTTCGCTAAACAAATGATCAGATGGACCGAGTTCGAGTGCTCATACCTATAGAGCACACTTAAAAGGGTTTTTTTCGGAGGAGGTTGGGTGTGTATAACTGCAAAGATGCATTTTGTAGATAAAATAATGCATGCATGTACAATAAAGGGAATCGTGTCCAAACCACGCCCCCATTCGTCATTTTTCCTTTAGTTTGGTTATTAAGACCATGGTCAAAACCCTGAATCTGGATACTATGAATAAAGCGAGGCTATTTTCTAAATTAGATCTATAACAAAACACACTGCTTTTCAATCTCCATTTTCAACGGAAAAACAACCTCGTAAACTTTGCGAAAATAAAATACTTCTTTTATTTACAAAAACAACAATAGGTGGCCTTGATGAACGGAGTATTGAAATGACACAGCAATCAAAGTATCTAAAACAAATTTCCCTAGAAGTAGATTATCATTCAATTGCCAATACACATTTTGTATGTCCACACAAGATTAATCATCGCAGCTTGGTTTATATTGTAAAAAGAAAAAAAAAGATTATGTATGGCTGTACAAACTATATATTTGACTTCCTTAAATCAATGCAAAATCTTCATTGTTGTAGACAAAATAAATATCTTTGTGTTATTTTTTAAATCTAATCCTATTTAAATCTAAATAGTCAAATAGGTTCATTTCCTTATCTCATATACGCCAATGTAATTAAAATTAGATTATAATTTCGTTTCGTTTTTTTTTTATTATTTTATTTGTCGGACTCCATAGTTACCTAGCTATACCAACACCGTGTACCGTTCCATCCGATCACAGCGCGTCATCAGTGTCTAATAGATAGGGATAGCGAAACCCAAAGTAGAGACTACTGATACTCATTTGTAAAAGGGATTCTGATTGGCAGGGGAGTAGCCACGTGTTTGATTGCTATAAATAGCCCATAGCGTTACCCGCTCACGATATTGGTATAAATCTCTATTACTATAGAGTCCGAACAATAAAATAAAATAATAACGAACCGAAATTAAAGTATAATTTTAATTAATAGATTGGATATCCACCAAAGTGACTACGAATCAAAATACGTGTAATCAAATTAGGACACTATGTCGTAAAGAATAACAAAATACTCCGTCTCCTTACAATTAAGAAAATTGAGAATTTACACCTTTAACAGGAAATCGGAAAGTACAAACGGAAACTATGAGTGGCCATAACATTAACATCAAAGTTCCGAAAAATAAAGTTAAATTTGACTTCATTTAGATTTTATCTTTTGCTTGTTAATTTTAGTCGATAATAAATTTGTAAATTTGATACAAGTTCAATTCGACAACCACCAAAGAAAATTAGAGTCAATCACAGTTCGCAAATTGATTTGCCATAATACAGTGTTCACGTCAGAAAAAGGTACAATTATTGTAAATCAATTCAATAGAAATTATCAGTCCTTAAAATCATGTAATAGGAAATAAATGTCATAAAAACACGAATTATTGGGTTTTTATCAATCGACACAAAATCTGCATTTATAAACGTGCTTTGATCTTATGACAATCGGGAATGACAAGTAAAAAATATATTATGACAGTTATAATAAATCTATACAAAACATGGTGTAATTATTCATATATAAATCATTAAATATGCTACAAGGTACAGTTATACAATTTGAAATTGTAAGCAGGAAGTTAACTAATAGTGACAGATTTGTTTTAGTCTCAATTATGCTCAGCATGAAAACACAAAGTAAAGACAATCATTTTAAACACATGGGTGCACGAGTATTGTCTCCACAATTTGCCATACTGGCCATAGATCTGAACTTTTACAAGAGTATCACTTTTCAAAGTAAAAATAAGACGCCTGGTTCCTTACGATTCAAAAAACACATATCGTGGAAGTTTAGACCTTCGTTACCTGTGGGTAGTTATCAACACTCGCAGTCATTACCGATAATGGCATCATTACAGCTTGTTAACGCCATAGAACTGACAATAGAAAAGTGTTACGCATAACTGAATTTCAGCTTTATCACTAATTATGAATCAATGGAGTTACACGTTTTGTTATTTTTAAGAAATTATAAATATCCAACCAGAACCTTTTTCTCAGAGTCAGTGGGTAGTGAATGTACATAATTGTGAACAAATGACCTTCAACTTTCTAAATACCACCTACTCTTTTCACGATTAAACTTTGAAAAATGGAATTAAATAAAATGATGGACATTCATTTTTTATTATCTGTATTTAAGAGATTGTAAAGATGTTTACTAATTTTTGTTTTACTAAAGTGTATCGGGGACAGTGATAACATCAATTTGCACTATACAAATCAGTGTTTCCGGTTAATGACTAATCACTAATTCACTAATCGCGAAGGGCCTTCTGTGATAAAGTAAATTTTTCCCGATACACATAATTTTTGTTAGAAAACCTATTTGCAACCCCTTTCAGTACATTGTGTAGAAATTGAAGCAATACCTACCTATGACAAGTGGATAAAGATGCTTCCTGGTGGAATAGTAATGTAGTAATAAATCACCATTATCACAATGCTCACATCTGAAACGTCAATTTAAGATAAATTGGATTTCAGTTATATTTTTATTCTATTGTAATTGAACCAAATACCAAATCCTATTTCAAAAAAAGTATTACTCGTAGTCTTTATTTTAGAGTTTCTCCATTGATGAAAAGATGATTTCAACTTTGTTATAACTATAGCTAACTGGAATAATCAGTGAAGATGACTTATTCAAGGTAATCGGAATTTCACACGACGACCGAAATTGAAACCCACAACCAACAATTCTTCCACGTAACGTAAAAAAAAACATTGAAATTACAATGTACAGTGGAGCCTCGTTTATCCGCACATTCCCGTTCCCGATAAAATCGTTCGGTTTAACGAAAATCCAGATAGTTGTAATTGAAATGAGGTAAGATGTTTGCAAACGTTCTGATTTTGGTATCATTTTTTGAATGCAGTACCATGTTTGAACATTTTTAAATTGTGGTATCATGTTTGAAAATACTATAAATTTGGAACCATAATTGATATCAATTGAAATGTGGTACCATGTTTGAAAATATTTGAAATGTGGTACCCACTACGGCTTTGCCATGAAAGCATCAGATCTGTTCTCGAGCATCAGACCTCGACTCGACTCACGTCAATGGAAACCACACGGCTCATTTGGAATTATTCCATCCCATCGTGCTACGCCAGATGTTTCACGCACGCGACTTGTAACACAAGTTATCGCCTTAACGCACGATCTTGATAATATGAAAAACAGAATTAATGTACACACCTAAATGAAGGGGGAATAATATTTTTATAACTTAAAGCCAAAAGAGAATGGAGACTGTCTAAATTCTGTATAAAATGCCACATATCACTTCCAAGTGTCTTTAACATTTTATCATATCCATGTCTCATGGCATACATTATAAAATAATCACCAAATATCTCTAGAACTGTATTCACTGATAAATCTGGAAATTGGAAGAAAAATGACCTTCATTATTTTAATTATTTTATATATACCTTTTTTCTGTTCTGTCATAAAAGGGATTATAAAGAAGATTAGTAAATTTTAGATAGCATCGATTTGCACTATTCAAATTGAGTGACGTCATTAAACGCTTAGTTTAGGCGGAATCGCAAGAGCAGGTGTCTGAATGAAAATTGCAGCGATAAATGCTATCAAAGCCTCCAATAAACATAAAAGTTTTCTCTACAATGCTTCCAATGCTTCCAATGCTTTCGTTGTCAGGAGATTGCTCGTCAACTTTGAGAATAAAAGTTTGAGCTTAAAATCTGTGTGCATAATATACATTTGCAAAAAAAAGAAAAGGCTAATACCACTGTACCACAAAATTATGCCCATTGCATACTGCAGGGTATTGTAAGTTTTCATTTGCCCGTTGATGATAAAAAAAGAAGGACGTAAAATTGAACACAGACATCCAAATCCTCGTAGGCCTAGCATCTTTAATATAGAAATGTAAGGTGTACCTGTACATTGGGAAACACTTTGAACAACCTTATACCACAAATTGTCATCATATTGTGAAAATACCAAAAAATGTTTCCTGTCGTCCAACTCTGACTTCTTCCTGAAAATACACAAAAAATAACTAGCTCAATAGTTCAGTTGCATCAAGAACTATCATTTTAATTTATCCTATTTAACATTTTTAATATAGCAATTTTCCGGATACTTAGCAACATATTGGACAGTTTAAAATAATTGACAACTATAGTAATATATCATAACAAAATTCTAGCAACATCTAAAACAACTAACAGATACAGTGATAACAATAATGAGAGCATCTATAACAAAAACATCAAACAGTATCAGACGTATTAACAATAACAACAGCAACCATAGTAACAATAACAAGGACTACAGACACAAATAACAGTGACAACCATAATAACAATAATAATGACACCAATAACAACAACCAAAATAACAATAGCTAGGATGATAACAAGGATAAAAACAATAACAACAGCGATTATTGCAACAAGAATAACACATAATAAACACAACTACTAATTTTACAACAATGACAATTACAACAACAACATCTGGCAATAACAACAACAACAAAAGCAACACCAACAACAAGTCACACTTACAATATCGTTTCCCACATCTCCTGTCCAAATTTTGCAATAACCATTTGTCGAATAACAATGTGGATTTGGCCATACTGAAATTAGGCAAAACATATTTAAACATTTTATTGTGACGAGTGAAGTATTCTCAAACGGCGACAGCGGGGGAAAGAGTTAGGATCAAAATTGTTTCTGATCGTTTTAGAAACTACCTGTTATGATTATTACACGTATTGTGGTACGTGTTAACGCCGAGACAGGCATATCTACTCTGATGCCACTGTGCGACTAGGTTGTCAACTTGGCATTCCAGTTGGAGAGTCCACATGGCTAATGCTGTTTATTTGTATATTTTGTTTTTGCACATAGGAATGTACCTCGGTGACGGCGAGGAAAGAGTTGGGACTCCCAAGTCCAAAATCCACCTACTATGACTGATGTTGCAGGAGAGAAAGGCGTGTCTACTCTAGTGCAGTGGCGGAGCCAAGGGGGGGTTAGTCTACACACATCTCTTTCGGGAGTCTACATAACTATTTTTGTTTATTCGTTGATTATTTGAAGTAAAATCTTTTGTATTACGTAAATTAATTTTGAAATCTATTGTGAAATTTCAGCTGTCTCGTATGTTATTTAATCGGATTAATAAATTCTCTATATCGTGCGTCAGTCCTAAAGATGAAATATAATATACAACATTTACAGTCAATTTAATTAAATTGTGACATGTAATCTGATACAAATTTATCCATCTTTCATAGTTCTGCAACAGTCGCAAAATGATATGAAATAGATGGAGTTTAACGTCCTATTCTTTTGCATCTAACTGAGCTAATGCAGACGGACAACTCCATGCGGTGAACAATGAGAAGTCAGTGGTATTAGCCTACTCTTTTTCGATTTCCAACTGTCTTAAACGTGCACAGCCTGTAGCACACGGGGATTTGGTTTCTTGTCCCATCCGAGCGTTCTACAGTCGCAGTCTTTTGACAACTATAAATGAATTGGAACGTGATGTCCCAGCACATTGCAGTAAAGGCTACGATTTAAATTGGTAAGCCAATCAGAGAGTTTACGACATCAGATGGACCAAAGATAGGGCAATTTGTAAGCTCAGTTGGTTATATCATTTGTATTTTGTCGCCATTATTAGGCATAAGTCGAACAATGAAATGGAGAGGGTACTATAGGCGTAAGCCTGTTCCCTAATCCTATTATGTAAATAAATATTGTTTATACAAAAAAACAATGAAATGGTGTTCTTGAACTTTTTCTCGGTCGGAGCGGAGTATGACCTTACATGTTTCCGTATTTTCCCGATCGAACCAATTTTATATGGGTACGGATATTACTGGAAAAGGTTATTGATAAGCAATTTAACCAAGAATCCTTATAGAGTCTAAGTTGTTGTCCATATAAAATGAGATGCTTTTATCTACCATTCTTCACTCTTTCAATTGGTCCGACACGGTTGTACGTGGGTACAGATATTGCTGGGAAAAGCTGTTGATAAGCAATTTAGCCAAGAATTCTTATAGAGCCTAAATTGTTATCCTTGTAACAAATGAGATGCTTTTATCTTTTATACTCTTTCAATTTGAATTAGATTATCGGCTTCAATTTCTAAACACGATTTTTTTCATAATAGAGACAAAAATATAAATTTTAATGGCAGTTTTCGGTCATTTAATTGAGTGATTGTATAAAATCAAATCGATAATATTCCAGACAGCTTTAGAAACTTCGTCAACAGTCTACTCTATTTTTAACCTGAAAAAGTACAGATCTATTATGTTTTGCTTCGTGTTTGTGCTGAAGATGACTCCACTTGACATCCATGATCTAAAGATATTAACATGTCCCATGAGTTCTAAATCACTTAATTTTTAACCAATCAAATGCTCAACGAAAACATTTTCGGAAAGACAGACTTCTTGGATATCCACTGTTAACCTTCACTTTTGTTTGTTGACCAGAATTTAACCCATAATATAAAGCACGATTCTTTGTAGGGAAAATGAAATGAATTTTGCGTGCTACTCTTATGCACCATGTGTACTAATGCAGACGATCTAAGCCAACAGTGCAACGAGGGAAATTTTGCAAGAACAGCGAAATTAGCCTGCTATTTCGATTTTCAACTGTCAAGGGATCTTTAACGTGCACAGCCTGTAGCACACGGTGCCTCGGTTTATTGTCCCATCCAAATGATTTTACAGGGGGAAACCGGGTTGAAAGAGATTATCTCGACAAATGTGGGGATAGAACCCTGGACCTTTAGGTTAGCGAGCAAGCGTTTAACTCATTGAGCAACCGCCACTACCTGATTTTAAGTAACGTTACGTAAAAGAGGTCGGATAATGACGTCACCAAGGTTTAATTCATTTGGCTTGAATGGTTTTTACGATTGGGTCAATATTTTCATAATTACAGGAACCACAGACATCATTCACAAATAAGAAGCAAAGAGAAAGATATCAGATAATTACGTTTATATCCCATTAATGGTGGCATTGAAGAAAACAATAAAGAATAGCTTAGTTAACTGAAAAAAATATCATTGTTCGGATCATTGCTTGATTTGAAACATTTAAGTGTGTTTTTAACAACCACTTGTATTCTTTTCTTTTGACTCTCCCTTCTATAACCATGAACATAAACAGAAGAAAAGACCTATATTTTAGTCAAACTATATTTATACCAGAATTATTCTATTGACAAAACAATTCATTTTTAGTGTATTCGTTCATCAGTAAATAGTTATTTCCATACCTCATTTAGTGTGTTTTCCACTGATTTTAGTTTAAAAGCCCTAGAGCATTTAAAACATATAGTATCGATTGTTTTCGCCTATTAGGAATACATACATAATCTTTGTTTGAAAATATTGGCTTTGATCGTAATATACACTTAAGATTTTATCTATTGAAGCGCACTGAATATTTTTTTTTTCAGTTCATAATTGTTTCCAATGTACACATGTTAATTGGAATCAATATCTGTTACAAATATTTAAATATTTTTACAAATTTCGGCAATTAAAGTAGGGCTCTGATCGATATTGCCCCTAAAAGATTTTGGCAGCGACACCATCGGATCTTCAAAGACTGCCATCAGCGGTAGGCAACTGGAAAAGTCTTATAAATCTTTAGATTTAGTCAAGTTCGGCGTACCGAGGACCACAACAGCCATCAGTTTCTGGTTGTTTACCATCTAGAAAAAGTAGGATCCTGTCGTCAACTTGAGCTATAGAAATCTCAGATCATCCAGTTGCTAGCAGTTACTCTTTATGAAAGTTTTTTTTAAATCCGTCGACAGTTGGAAGTTGAAAGGGAGAACCTAATGCCGCTATTCTGACAAAATTACCATCATTGTACATTGCATGGCGTTGATTGATTGCCTTCATTATCCCAGTGCAGAAACGTAGAGTGAAATACAATGTAATTGTAATTGTTTGAGAATAAAAAGTTCTGATTCGAATAGGTTAGCCATTCTTAAAACCTCTGCTTCATACTCTGCTTTAACTTCCGATCTCGTTAAATTAATATCCAGCTTGTTATAATTAATCCATGGCTCGGGCAGCTCATGAGCTCTTCTTAAGCCGACCAGCAATTTGATTAAATTAAGATACTACATGGATTGGTTTTCCGTTAATGAATGAAGTCCATACCACCTTCTTAAAGCCAGTAATACAGGGATCTATGGCCAGATTAGTTTGATTTAAACTGACGGAAATTTAATCAAAACATGCGTCCTGTCAGTTAATCAAGTATCTGAGTCGGGTCAGTTGTAACGGGCAACTGTCAATCAATTATTGAAGTGGGTGTAACGGGCAAAATGATAAAGACAACAGTCGTGAATTCAATGAAAGATATAAAGATAGTGGACCACAGCCATATACGCCCTTCACGGCATGCGGATGGTAAAAACGAAACATTCATTTTAAGTTTCATCAAAATCGGTTGAGAACTAAGAAAGCGTATTCAAGATTTTGGGGCAAGGGCAATATAGAGAGATGTGGGCGTATAAAAACCTGACTGAGTTTCGATGGAAGTCGGACAACTCGACCCATCGGACCAAGGATATTTTTTTTTCAAAGACAACTTGGGCCATTATATTTATAAGGCTCGGACCAACTTTCAAAGACAACTCGGACAACTTTTTATCGGATTCTAAACAACTTTCAAAGACAACTCGCAGTGCGAGTGAGAAGTGTTGTTGACCTTAGTAGATTCATTGGCTCGGCGATACAAGGAAGAGTGGGAAGTAATCCTTCATAAGCTTATAAAACATACAAGGTTTACAATTAATTTCGGACATTCACTAATTGATTCTGTAAACAGCAAATGGTACATGTACTGACATGTGTATAATTAGTGGGCTTACAAGGCTTTATAGCTAAAAAAAAAAGTTAATTACAGTTGTTGGATCATTTGGCAATCCTCGACAGTTTCCGTAATGCTGAATCTACCTCGGCAATGAATAGTGATAATCGCTGTTTCGTTTTAGATGAAACTCTACTTCCGATATTTAGCAGTGATTTGTCAAGTGAGAACTGAATATAGTCCTTACTTTAGAGCCTTTGGAAGGTGCTACTGACACTATGTCATATATTCAATGCTATATTTTGACTATTGGTTCACCAATGATACCTAATATTATCATCTTACTAAGTTTTTGTTTACAAACAGTTGTAGTTCCGAACGGTCAGCTACTGATATTTAAATTACCAGAATCACGTAACAATATAGGAAGTCTTGCGGTGAACAATGTCTGCTATTCATAACCGTGATATGTTGCAGAGCGCCAACATTACTTTCACGGCAGACCCTTTTCTGGTTGGACACTCGCGGTTTGCGATTAATATAGTGGTAACTGATATTGTTAATACCACATGATACATGTACCGACATGTGTAATAAGTAGACTTCGATTCTTAAAAGCTAAAAAGCCCGAGGTTCTTGCTCTAAGGTAGTGGTGGTATTAGTGGTTCGACACTCTCTTTAAGTTCCAATAGATATATAGTTTAGGCCTACCTTACTAAATAGTTTAAAAATACTGGCAGCTGACGTTCTAGATTTTGATAAAAAATAAACTTTCT